CTTCTTAGGTTTTAATGCACATTGCAGGTGTTTATTTTGGGTGGGAGGGGAATATACATGTGTATAGTAGATACAAAGGTGGGCTGCTGCTGGGCTGGAGACTGGATGACATCTTCACTGAGGACAGCATAAAATAAAACTATTTATTATTTTTCTTTACACTATTTTTATTGTTTTCACACACGTTACACAGAATGATGATAAACTTTACTTTCACAGAAGTCTGTATAGTTTACACTTAGAAAATACAGGCCTATATCGCTGACTGATTTAGTGCCACTGGTAGGTTCCTTTTATAAAAAGCCAAACAGAAGTCCTTTATCTAAAACTTGAACATCTCAGGTGCCTGTTAAGAAATTCATACTGAGGTAGAGGGATTGAATTCTTCCTACCCTTGACTGTACATATATCACATAAAAAGAGCAGTCTTGTCAAAGGTTGACATATACACTAGTTCACAGTGAACTTTATACTTCCTCTAGGATGAGTAAGGCATTTGGGCAGAGACGATGACGTTCATTACAATGTCTGGTATTGCTGCTATTTGGTTAACAATATGGGGCAGTGCCGCAGTAGCAATTACAGTGATTTAGGCTAGAATGACTTCAGACATGCTAACATGGAAAATAGGCCATCTTTCTTGGTACAACTCTTCCATTTATGTACTGTATGTGGACTGTCTGATTGAGATTGGCTTATCACAGGTAACAATGTACAATCTCTTTTCTCCGAAGTCCATTCCTTGCAGTGCCTAGCTATGCACATACTGTTTACACATAAACACATATATAAAGTACACTGCCCTGGGATAGCACTCACACTCGCCAATTGAGCCAAATGCTAAAACTGACTTAAAATTGGCCTAAACAAAATAGGGTTGATTTGACTTGTTTTTGTCAAATTAAAACCATTTGGAGAAAAAAGTGATTAAAAAAAGTAACGATTTGGTTAAGGGGATAGAATTGCTAGTGCTACCCTAGCTGTGTATATACATGTAACTAGCTTACATTACTTCATCAGACCATCAAAGGAGAAGGGTAATATACAGGGAGGGGGGAATCTGTCTCAGTGTAAACACACACCTACAAATTAACCATATTGGACTTGAGCAGTTACTATTATATATGGCCTTGTTGGATCCCCAATCAGTTATGAACAGCAATATATCCATGATGAAGTACTCATGGCCATGATGGTTTTACTGCTGATAAAGTCATCTCCACCCCTCTTATAAATGATGAATGCCACTGAGGATCTGCTGATAAGCCTTATTTTTATCACGTTTAAATAAGTTTTCCATTTTGTGTAAAATCTTGTGTAAGCCCTGTGCAAATCTTCATTTATTCATATCTTGTGAAAAAGAAAAGGGAACTAGTTTAGCCCCAGTTCTACAATCTAGCACTAGTCAGGAAGAATAGAGTGATTGAATAAATGCGATACAGATGTTATGGAAGGGAAAATTGCTGATAGGACAAATATGGATTCATCAAAATGTTATTAGTACTAGTTTGTCATAATTACTAATTATGACATGGGACAATGGTACATCAGAATTAACTTGCTGCCAGCTAAACAATAATAGCTTAGATACCCAGAAAGATTTTGTAAGAAATTAAAAAATAAAAGAGTCACAGGTGGAGGAGGAGGGAGGGATGCTTTTATGAAGTCTTTATGGGCCCAGTCCTCTTAAGTGTGATTGAAGTACGGAGGCTGTTTGTAAGTAATGTGTTTTTGGTATGCTATGGTCTAGTTCATGGGTAATTAAGACGATGCTTTTATGATGAGACAACAGATTATAGTTGTATGCTGTGTGCACATCAAAATTAATTTAACTCAGAAACAGGCAGAAATATGTCATTTGACATCTGAAGATAATATGATTGAATCAGTCCCTATGTGCTTTTATTTATTTATTTTAAAGACATGTTAACATGTAATATTGTGTTGTTGTTATCATTTGTCACATGTTTAATATCAAGCAATAATAAGTGCCCTAAAGCTTTGCTTACAAAATCACTGAGCATGTTTTTTACGCACAGAATGTATTGACCCTTGTTTATTTATTTAACTGGAGGCTCACACAAATATAAATCTATCTTCCTCTTTTTGAATTAATTTTTTACTTCAAGAAATTATTAATGCATGAGATCTAGTGTGGGGTCTATGTAATTCTGACTTCTACAATGAGATAATTACTTAGTTTGTTGTAACAGAAGCTCAGTTCTTTTAAAGATAATGATGGTAGGATTATAATTAATTTTTATATTGATAGGAGGTGTTGAATATAATCAGTATTTATGATAATGTCTATGCTGAGTTTTGGCATACATACAAATGATATTACTGCCAACACCTCTGAATATGATTGACCTTATTGCTTGCTAATACTGTTTGTTTTACAATTATAATTGATATGTTATATGGCTCGTTTACCACACCTTGGGTTCATTGATAAAATCCTGCATAGTATTTCAGTATATATATATATATATATATATATATATATATATATATTACAGTT